TCCAGCTGAACAGGAGGAAGAACTTCTTCCCTCTGAGGGTGACGGAGCCCTGGCCCAGGCTGCCCAGGGAGGCTGTGGAGTCTCCTTCTCTGGAGATATTCAAGACCCGCCTGGACGCGGTCCTGTGCAGCCTGCTGTGGGTGACCCTGCTTGGGCAGGGGTCTGGACTGGGTGACCCACAGAGGTCCCTTCCAACCCCGACCAGTGTGTGATTCTGTGATTCTGTTACTGTTGCGTTCATTCAAAGGTTGAGCAGTTTTCAATGTATTGTTTTAAAAATCTGATCTTGAAATAAAGCTTGTCGTTTGTCTTTGTCGTCAGTGGTAATGTTTCTGATAGCGTTTGCGGCGCGGTTTGGAGTTGGTTTCTTTTTTCCCCTCACACATCTGGCTGTTTTTCTGTGCTGCAGTTGGCTGGGGGAGCGACCAAGGGATTGGAGGATTTGGAGAGGAGCCGGGAATTAAAGCACAGCTAACGAACCTGATTCGATCTGTACGAACCGTTATGAGAGGTAAGGTGACGGTCTTCTGCCTGAACGTCGTTGTCCGTAAAGTTTCGCTTCTGTGCTTTCATGAAGTAACATCAGGTTTTTTTGACCCTTTTACCCGATTTCTGCTCGTTGCTCCCAACGTGCCCTTCCTGCGGGTTCCTTCCTTCACACACGGGTGCAGGTCCTTGCGCCCTGATTGTGGTAAACACCACCACTGCGTCTTGCCTTTCCTCGGAGATTGGGGAGCTGGTGGGAAGCTGGGTGATCAACCAGAGGGTGCAGTTAGCTCTGCCTTGGCTAGGTTCAATTTTCGGGGAAGTACCTTGGGAGGGAAATGTAATTCCTGCAGTTCTTCAAGGTGGGCCAGGCTGATGTCTCTCAGAGGGTGGGGGGGAAACCAGACTTTAATTTGTAAGTTACTGGTAGTGTTCTTCACTGTAAAGCAGACCAAAACTCCCTTTTACTGCGGTGATATAGAGGAAGTAACGAATCTTGCCTGTCCTGCTCACCATGGAGTAAAAACCCATACATTTAGGGCAGCGAGGCTGGTGAGGGGTCTGGAGAACAAGTCTTACAAGGAGCAGCTCAGGGAGCTGGGGCTGTTCAGTCTGGAGGAGGCTGAGGGGAGACCTCATTGCTCTCTACAGCTACCTGAAAGGAGGGTGTAGTGAGGCGGGTGTTGATCTCTTCTCCCAAGTAACCAGCGATAGGAGAAGAGGAAATGGCCTCAGGTTGAGTCAGAGGAGGTTTAGATTGGATATTTGGAAAAATTTCTTTACTGAAAGAGTGGTCAGGCATTGGAACAGGCTGCCCAGGGCAGTGGTAGAGTCCCCATCCCTGGAGGGGTTCAAAAACCGTGTAGATGTGGCACTGTGGGACACGGTTTAGCAGGCATGGTGGTGTTGGGGTGACGGTTGGACCTTATGATCTCAGAGGTCTTTTCCAACCTATGATTCTATGATTTCTTCTAAATCACAGCCAAGCCAAGGACAGAAACTGCCTCGAGACGGTTTAGTTTCATTTGGAGAAAGGGCTGTTCAGGTCAAAGTTACGACGTGATGGGCCGTGGAAAAATATTTACGCTGTTGCTTCCTACAAATTTTTAGTATCCTAGGCTGTGATCCTGGCTCCTTCCACTAACCCTGATTTTTGCATAAGAAAATTCAGTGTATTTTTAAAACTTGGATTGATTTTGCACCTTACAAGATAGTCTCTCAAGATAACAAGAAGTTCTGTCACCTTGTGATGTGCAGAAGAAAATTTTCACAATTGCTCTCCTTTTTTTTCCCTCTACAGTACCATTAATAGCAGTGAACTCCATTACAATCGTTCTCCTCCTGTTGTTTGGTTGAAGACACCTGGTGAAAATCTTTCGGACATCGAAAGAAGCGAGTTGCTGACCATCGCCGCTCCCGAGTTTTCTGGGGTCCAGCACGGTTTAGCTGTCAATTTGACATTCAACTTCAAATAATAAAGACACTATTTCTATTTATCCTATTTCTTAATGTTCACTTGCAGTTTCATTAAACAAGATGATGGGATCAATGCAACACCGCTGCAAATACGTTGGACTATGACAAGTTCTGTTGCTGCCTGTTCGTAGCGCCGACTGTTAGCGCACGCGTCGTGACATAATGCAGTGATTGTCCATAGGATGCGGTTTTTCAACATCTCGTTACTCAGGGATGAGTTTCCTTCAGTACGCTTCCCAATTTCTTTTTAAATGAAGAAAACTTTTTATTTCAGTTACTGTGACAGTACTATTTAAGAGGATACGAATTAGGCTCTGCAAACATGTTACCGAGCATTCAAGTACAGTTGTGATATTGAGGGAGACAAAACTGGCTTGGTAAAGTCCCAGATTTAAAACTGAAGCAAAGATTCAGTTTGCGTTGGAAATCAAATGTTCCCGGTTTGCTTGAGAACAGGATTTTTCTCTCGGTGTTTGGTAGTCTTTTAAAATCAATAATGTTTCGTGCTGATGGTGAAGTAAGTTGGAAATAGGTGCAATTGCTATGCAAAATCTAAAAAAGCTGTACCTAAAGCCGGGCAACTCTCTGTTCCTTTAGACTAGCAGGTGATGTTAGTGATTAGCATTTGTTATTGTTCTGTCAGGGATTATTATACATATTTTAAAACGTGTGTGAAACTTATGCGTGGTGGTTGGTGTGGTGGAAGTGGGGAACCATTTGTATTCTGAGCTTCTGGGGGAAATGCGGGAGGGGAATACCGGGCCCTTTTCAAAGGCAATTCTGTGTTAAAAAAAAAGCGAATTTTCAGCCTCTTCTAGCACTGCTGCTTCCTCCCCCGCCCTCTGTCTTCCTCTGTTAAATTAGCAGCTTACTGAAATTGCAACTATGGGTATGACCTTGCAGTTCTGTTGCCGAGAATATTGCTAATTGTGTTGGTACAGATCTTAGCTCAATTAAGACTGCTGGGTTAGGTCCAATGTTGTATCGCAAGCGTGAATGGAAGAAGGCTGATTCTCATGTACCTTTTCTAAAAAGTTAGAAGTCTTATGTCTGTTCCTCTGCTCGAGTGTTTCAGCTTCTTTTTAAAGTGGGGAAGGCCAAAGGAAACCTGGCAGTTGCGTTACTTTAAACCAGCTTAGTTTATCGTCTCTTCTTCTGACGTCTTGATGACTAAAGCATACGCTGTTGTATACAAAGATAAATCTGCAAAATGTGTAAATGAATTTAATGATCTTCGGTTGTGGTGTTTTGCAGAGTAGAGTATATCCAGGAGGAGAGTTTTATGTTGTTTCCTTTTTTTTTTAGTGAAAACTTGGAAATAAATTCTGAATTTCTAAGTTAAGCGCTGTCTTTCCTAACTCTCTCCAAATCTGCATACAGGAGGAGTATCTCAAAACTCGGCTTCGTCCTGCTGCAGATCCCAGAGTGACTGTTCTTACATGAAACACATTTTTCTCATCCCTGTGGCACTTGCGAGTATCATCTCTCCGCTGTGAAGCTGTATTTTGGTTTATGTAGCAAACCTAATGAGCCGCGGTAACGCTGGCCAGAGGCAGAATAGGATCATGCTAGTCTTTAAATTCTGGAGTAGGTAGATCTATTTATAAAGTATTTCTTCGTAATGATCTTTGTGTAATTCAGAGGTGACGAGGGTACAGTCTGGATCAGTTGTTTTCATAAATCTGTCTTTCATGGAAACTGGACAGTACGTATGTGGAACAGATAAAACGTGGAAGGTATGCGGGCCTTTTTGTAAAAGTTTTGCAAAAAAGAAGCAGCGGCAGATGTTTCCATTGCTGATGCATTGGATTGCAATGCTGAATGACTGGAAGCACAGCTTGCTTATCGTTTCCTTTTCGTACCTATTGACTGTAAAAACACTAGTTCTTACTAAAATAAAAACCAGTACTAAAGATTACAAGCAGCAGCTTTAAAAATGGGTGAAAAGCGATTTCGCCATCTTCCTGCCCTTTCGGAAAGGCTGAAGTTTCAGTGCATGGCTTGCAGCGCGTAGGCAGATCATTTCAAAATCAACGAGGCACTAGCAGGAAAAAAGAGTGGCAGTTCTGCGTGGCAGGAATCCTGCATTGGAGGCAAAACTGGGATGTGATTTACCCGGCAGATAAGAAATAGCGATTCAAAGTGGGGCAGCAGCTGAAGATCAGGTCTCGCAGGTAATGGGCAGGGACGAGGGGAAAAAGGGTAGAGAGCAGACAGGCAGAGAAGGACGGAGCGTGGGGAGAAACGGCGAGGGAGTAACTACACTGCCGCTGCCTCCTCGTGCAGCTTTGAGCAGTCCTGAAACGAATCCGCTGCGATGAAGTTCAATGAAACGCCTCAAACCTGCCAGGGGCTTGGCTTCTTCGGTACCGGGGAACACGCAAAAAAGTTTCCACCTGGCCAAGAGCCTGCGGTCTGGTCGTCACTTCACACTGTGAAGAGTGTCATCGCTCGTACCTGGCACAGACAGGACGATAACCAGGATATTTGGCGGATCACGACGAGGATGAAGACTTTGCAGTGTAGAACCACGGGTTCTAGTGAAGATTTGTAAGCAGCAGATGCTTTCACAGAATCACAGACTGGTCAGGGTTGGAAGGGACCTCTGTGGGTCACCCAGCCCAACCCCCTGCCGAAGCAGGGTCACCCAGAGCAGGCTGCCCAGCACCACGTCCAGGCGGGGCTTGAATATCTCCAGAGAAGGAGACTCCACAGCCTCCCTGGGCAGCCTGTGCCAGGGCTCCGTCACCCTCAGAGGGAAGAACAGTCGATTGCTGTGTGGTGGTACCAGTAGCGTGGTGAAATCGAAGCTTGTGGGACGCTCCACAGAGTCTTTAGCGCAAACACGGACGGGAACAAGGGATGGATTCTGCGTACCTGCGCTGTTAAAGGTTCTGTTTCGAAGGGCACGGGGACAGGCGGAGGGAAAAACGGGACGGCAGCGGGTTTGTACGCAAATAAATGGATCTCAAGCTCACTTTAATTATCCTCGACACCTCAGGTTGCGGCGTTACGACTTCCGAACCGCACGGCCTTACGCACCGTGGGATGTTTTGACGTACGATCACAAGATGAAACTGCGAGTGCCCATCGCGCCGCGGGCCGCCCCCTTCGCCGCTCCCTCCCC